TCAATATCTGTCAGTCAGCGCAGCTGGTTAGACAGCCTGCTTAACGCTTCCGTTTCCCAGAATCCAGCTTCCCAGGTCTTTATCTGTCAGCTGGTAATGCAGTGTTGGATTACATCTGAGGCATGGAGAAGGAGATATTATTTACTTGCTATTAAGTGGTCTGTGAGTGAATGAAAAACTGTTGGTCCTTTCCCCCTGTGAGATGCATGGAACTCAGCTCTCCCCGTCTTCGTCCTTAGGAAACCTCTGTAGCTGGTCGCTTGCCGATGTGGTGAGAAAAGGTCACTGCATGTTTTTACATGGGTAGTTCAGTTATCAATTGTTAACAATTGGTAATTATTAATCACAGATGGAATTGTTGGATAAGCTGGCTTAGAATAATGTGTGATGTATTTTAAACCAGTTCCTTCATCCTTAATGACCCCAACACCTGAGGAAAATACAAATTTTCACTTCTGTGTAAACCTAACCTGGACAGGTTTCCAACCTATTTTGACACAATTTAGATATTTGTTGGGAATGGATATTACAAACTTATAGATTTTAATTATTGAGAGGCTGCCTTACAGATTGAATCCATTCCTCTTACTGAATAATTGTCTACTGGGCCCAGGTCATGGATAAGATCTTCTTTTTTACCCAAAACAGATTCAGTATGTTCCGACCTTTCTCAGTTTTCACCCGCCACAGTGGTAAGCTGCTCAAAATTGAGTTTTCATTCCAACTGAAACCTAGGTTTAACAGCATTTAAATATGTTATTAAGCGTATCCAAGGAGGGAGGGAAATGTTGTTAGTAGTGCAAAGGTTATTTTAAGTAAAAATGAAAAAGTAAATTAATATTCTGTTTCTATTGTAACATTACATCATTCCTCTCCTCTTGCAATCAAGCAATCAAGGTCAAGACACATTTTTAAAAAATAATGGTTAAAAAGTTTACTGTCCTTTTACTTTTTGGATGGCTTTAATTTCAAATATTTGATAAGTATACAGAAAATTATACTAGTAACTGATTTGGAGAAAATTATACTAGTAACTAAATTGTACTAGTTTTAGATTAAATTATGAGATATCTATTGAACACCTGATACATGCAAAATGCATGTAATTGGTAGTGCACCGGGGCCTCTAGTTAATAAATAATAATATGCAAAAATAAGCTTTGTGTTTTACATCCTCACAGCTGTAAACCTATTTATCCCCACCCTGTCTATAGAGCCTGAGTTGTTTTTGTCATGCATGTACTGAAAAATGGAATTGACTCATAGATGTCTTTCATTTCCTTCTTTTCCATCTAAACTCTTGTCTCCCATTGTCTTTGTTTCTTAACACAATATTTTAATTTCCTTTATCTTTCATGCTAACTTGTGCTTATTGTACATCATTGTTAATTTTGAACTACGAGAACAGAAAACATTGTTCACAGCTGTATTGTGAACAAAATCTTAATTACATCCTGTATTTGCAGTAATGGAAGAAAACAGAAAAAAGTAAATCAAGAAGGTTGTTTGAGAAACTGGCAGATTTCATGTTCTGTTATAATGTGCCATTGAGTTATAGACCCAGGTTGAAGTTTGTAGAGTGAAGATAATGCCTGATGTTTTTGTGTGATTGTGGGGTTTTGATTCAAAGTCAAGTACAATAACTTCAAAGATTTGGTTGTAAGCCTTTCCATTGGTATGCTTCCGTTAGTAAGCCTTTTAAAGAAGTGATGGTGAACAATAAGTCTTAACAATTAATGTTGTAAAAACATGGATTTTAATATCATGGTAGAAATGGAGTAGCTGTAAAGCTGATACTATATTACCGACCAATTTCAAATGATGTGATCATTTATAATATAATATTTATGTAGATCTGATTTGGCTTTTTAGATGAAAAGAATGAGTATCTTTTTTGCCCATGTGAATGGGAAGAAAAAATACGTTGTCTGATGTTTTCATGCAGTGATCTAGGAATAGCCTTGAGAAACATAATGTCTAGTTTCTAATTATTGTTGAGAAATGAAAGCTCAATATTAATTATGCTCAAAGTCCTAAATTGTTTTTTGTTTTTTTTTCAATATATTTTATTGATTTTTTTACAGAGAGGAAGGGAGAGGGAGAGAGAGTTAGAAACGTCGATGAGAGAGAAACATCGACCAGCTGCCTCTTGCACACCCCCTACTGGGGATGTACCCGCAACCAATGTACATGCCCTTGACCGGAATTGAACCTGGGACCCTTCAGTCCACAGACCAACGCTCTACCACTGAGCCAAACCGGTTTCGGCCCTAAATTGTTTTTGATAAGAATCCTCTAACATTTGGATGTTTAAAAAATGTCATCTAACAGACCAATTGGTTAGTTACCCAGGGGGACATTCTGTAGTCACTTCCCTCTGTAAGCTGAGCTGCTCAAAGCCGGAGGTTTTCCCAGAGGAGGAAAGAGGGAGCCTTTGCAGTTAGGTGTTGACTAGAAGCTGTATCTCAGCCTTATTTTAGGGGTGCAGTCCCTTTTCAGGCCACAGCTCCTCCGGCTTTGAGTGGAGCCCAAGGAGCTCGCTGTGTCACAGACCCCCTGCCCATGTGGCTCATTCCTGCCCACAGCCATCCACCGAGGGCACCTGTTGGACTTCATGACGTCTGACTCAAATGCAAACTTCCTACCACAGTTATGGTCCTCTCTTCAGTCGGCAGTCAGGAACCTCAGCATCCTGATGTCTGGTTTTCTCTCATTGCGAGTGAAACTGGATTTCACTGCTGAACACACTCTCATTCCAAGACCAGATGAAGGAAGGAAAGCACACACAGGCTTGTCTGAGCCGGTCTCGACAGCCGAACTCAGGATGGCAGTTACAATCATGGAAACTGTGTTAACTAATACAAGCAAGTCTTCTCCGTGCAGAACTGTTTAGAACTTGTAGTAAGCTAAACAGAGTATTTGAATCTCCCAGCAGGGTCTTTACTATGTTGTGGTTTTCAATCTTGTTTGACAATGGGCCATATTTTTTTAGCGATCTTACACAAGTTGGCAATTGCTAATTGCTCTTCGGGACTAGCCCCCTGAACAATGGAACCGTTTCCCCCACTGAGATAATGTTTTAATATGATGCCTGTTTAATATGAGCACTGACGTGAGAAGTGGTGGTGTGAAGTGCATTATGGTTGCAGACTGTTGTTGAAGACATTGTCCGGTGTGTTGATTAGCTCTCAGAATAACTTCCTCCTGTGATGTACTACTTGGTAGAGCTGTGCGTTTTTCTTTTCTGTCAAGAAAGAATTAGATAAGCTATTATGCTTTTTTTTTTCCCCTTGCCTGTAAGGCAACTCAAATAAATGTGGCTCACAGCACAGTAATTATTTAGCTCTCATGCTTAACATACTAAGGATTTTTACTCTCCCCTTTCATGTTTATGTGGCTTATTAGTTAGATCCCTGCTGTCGAGCTTTACTTTCTTCATCTATAATGTAAGGATCTACCTTTTGGATTATTGTGGAAGTAAAATCTTTTTTTATTGCCTGGTCATGTGTGTGGCACACTGTAGAATATGAAGTAAATGCTATAATATTTTGTTCGTAATTTTAACATTTTTTGTTTCCAGTTTCACAACCTTATTTTATATACATCTTTACTTTGAAGCAGCTCAATCTTGTTTAGAAGTGAGAAGTATACATGCTAAGGAAAAAGATTACAAGCATCCCATTCAGAGCATTGCTCCAGTGGGTATGAAGGAATGAAGTGAGGTGACCATCCGTAAGCAGAGTAATGAAAGAGGGGACGTCCCCCTTGTAAACGGGGTCTCCAGGGTTGGGGTTCTCAGGAAGTAGCAGCAGATAACCAGCCACGCCTTCCCCCAACCACTTGACAGGGGTAACCGTTCTGAGCAAGATGCTGGCTTGAACTTGAAACCGAGTCAATTTCAAAGTAGCTGCAGCTCTTGTGACATTTTTGGTTTGTGTCTGTGCTGTAAGTGGAAAAGAGAGAGCTCCTTCTAGGGAGATTTTTAGGCTCAGAATCTGGGAAGCAGACTTACAATTTCTGAAATAAGAAGTGTTGTGTTGTGAGCATTGGGCATTTCAGTGATGGGACTTCCAACTCCTGTTGGGAAAATAACATACTGGACATTCAGTCTAGCCATCTCTCCTCCCCCAGGGCTACCTATTAGATAGCCTGGCATTTCTCTTCATGTGGCTGTAACCCACATGAGGGGCGCCGGGCATCTCTGACTCAGGACTCAGGGAGGATGTGCTTCCCTTTAGCCCTCTCGTCCCGAGTCCAAAGATGCATGACTGGCCACTCGTCCCTTCTCTTCAGCCATTCCCACACACTGCATTTTCTGAATGAAAAGGGTCCCTGCTGGGGTCATGGGCTAAGTGACCTTCTCACTTTCACCCACACTGCATTTTCTGAATGAAAAGGGTCCCTATTAATAAGGACAACATCAATAAGGTATTCCTGGGCAAACAGGGCATTTGATCATTTTAGCTAATACCCCCTTTCTATGTGAGCTTAAAAAATACAAAGGTTTTATATATTTTTTGTGATGTTAGCTCTACTGATGTGTCTGTGCTCACTATAGTAGCAGCAAATGCAGAGGGCTGTCTGCTCTGTTTTGATTTTCCTGAACCATGTATTTTGTTTTCTAATTTGGAATGTATTTTCCTTTTATAGTCAAAGTCACTGTCTATTATCTCATCCTGTTTAATCTGTAAAAGACCATCTTATGAATTATTAAGTAAGTAATAATGATTCTTTGTTTGGACTCCACCACCCAGGTAATAGTGGGGGAGGGGGTTAGGAGGAAGGAGGGCAAATGAAAGGGCAAATGAAAGATGAGGCAGAAGCTCTTAGTGCCCAAGCCTGGTAACTGCATACCTGGTAAAGACTGAATCTTTTAAAATATTGCCTTCATTTTCTATTTTGAAGTTATATTTAGGCAGTTGGAATTAATGTTGACAACTGCCAAACCAGTGTAAATGGAAGTCAATTTTTATGTCTTATATGCACTCTTATCTCCACAGAAGAAAGGTTGGACAGATCACAAGCGGGAATGCAAGTGCCTCAAAAGCTGCAAACCCAGATATCCTCCCGATTCCGTCCGACTTCTTGGCAGAGTTGTTGTCAAACTTGTGAGTAGATATCGTGTAAAATATTCTTGGTTTTAATTTAACAAAAGCACTCACATTTGCATATATTATTCTTTTTTTAAAAAAAGTATATTTTTATTGATTTCAGAGAGGAAGGGAGAGGGAGAGAGCGATAGAAACATCCATGATGAGAGAGAATCATGGATCGGCTGCCTCCTGCAAGTCCCCCACTGGGGATCGAGCTCACAACCCAGGCCTGTGCCCTTCACCGGAATCAAACCCGGGACCTTTCAGTTCATAGGCTGACACTCTATCCACTGAGCCAAACCGGCTAGGGCTGCATATATTATTCTTTTTAAAAAAATACATTTTTATTGATTTGAGAGAGAGAAACATCGATTGGCTGCCTCCTATTTGGGGTGGAGCCTACAACCAGGACATGTGTCTTGACGGGGAATTGAACCGGGGGACCGCTTCCTGCATGGGCTGACAGGACACATGTATTATTCTTATTTAAGGCCGAATTTAAATCCATATTAAATCCAGTAGAAGGTGGATTATTATGGGGAGTGTCTTAAGTCAGCAGCTTGCTGTTTTCCTATCAGTCACAGCATCAGCGGCAGTATGACGTGCACGGCCCCTCTTTGAAGGCCTGGGTGTGATCTCCTGGGATCGGAGACAGGACGTCCTGTATTTGTCACATGAGATGTTAGTAGAATCTAATACGTTGCCTTTATTACTTTTCTACTGTGAACCAATGCACAGGGTCTGTATATAATTCTTGTTGTCTCTTCAACTGAGATTTTAATTTTATGATAGTTAATCTGACATGGAAGAGCACTTATTTATTTATTTTTTTTTAATTTACAGTCAAGATTCAGTGAAATTGTGTCTTCAGTTCTTTTCCTTGCTCTGCCAAAGCAGCTAGTGGATTCTGTGACATCCCCGCTGGTGACACTTTCCTGATTTGGGGGACAGGTTTTAGCATGAGCACCTCTCAATCATTGCAAGCTCCAGCTTTGTTACTTTTTTTTTGGCTATGAAAATTTATAGGGTATTTAAGAATGTAAAAGTATGATTATATACATAAAACTAATGCAATGTTATATTTCAGTTACATCTTAATTTAAAAAAGGATTTGCAATACCAAATGGGCATTGTCTTTGGACTGAATATGCAACATACATATTTACTACTATGTGTACATTGTGTTAAAACATACAAATTTATTTCAAAGCATTAATACATTCAGAGCAATTTTCATCATTATGCATTTCTTTAACCACTGGGTATTAAAAGTTTAATCACTATTATATTTGAGTGTGAACTTTTTTCTATTTTATTAATATTAAACAGAAAGACAACCACTGTTAGGGCAGAAATTGGTTGCTTTAGAATTACCAAAGGTCCTAGTTCTCAATCACCATCTCTGATCTACTAAATCAAAATCTAAAGGAAGCAATCCTATATAGTAAAAGCCCAATATGCGAATTATCTGGTTATCCGTTCAACCAATCAAAGCGTAATATGCTAATGATATGCTAAGGCTGCTCAACTGTTCACTATGATGGGCATTGACCACCATGGGGCAGACAGCTGACTGGTCGACCAGTCGCTGTGACATGTACTAACCATCAAGGGGCAGACGCTCTGACCAGTAGGTTAGCTTGCTGCTGGGGTCTAGCCCATCATGACTGAGTGAGATAGGCCAGATGTGCTCTCGAGGTCTCCTGCGATCCCTCCCTGGCTGGCCAACCTCCCGTGTCCCTCCTCGGCCCTGAATGCGCACAGGTGGGGTTCTTCAGCCTGGCCTGCACTCTCTCGAAATCCGGGTCTCCTCAGGGGATGTCCGAGAGTTGGTTTTGGCCAACAGTCGAACGACTGGTCGCTATGATGTGCCCTGACCACCAGGGGCAGACACTTAACGCAGAAGCCAGGCTCATGGCTGGCGAGCACAGTGGCAGTGGTGGGAGCTTCTTCTGCTTCCACGGCAGTGCTAAGGATGTACGTACAATGGGGAGTGGGCCTAAGCTGTCAGTCAGACATCCCCTAAGAGTTCCTGGCCTGTGGGAGGGCTCAGGCCAGGCTGAGGGATGCCCCCAGAGTGCATGAATTTCATGTACTGGGCTTTTAGTTGTGAAATACTTTCCATAGAGCTCTTTCTATCTCCAGGCTCTGTGATAATGGCTTTACCTGGTGCACCTCATTTCACCCATAGCAGTCCTGTGAATCAGCTGCTGTTGCTACTCTTACGTACCAGATAACAACATTGATTCCTCTTGACTCAAGGTTAAGTAACTTGCCCAAGATTGTACAGTTGTAATAAATTCTTATTTTTATTGATCCATCTTTGTTTTTTTTTTTTTTTTTTTTTATAATTTATAATAAAATTCTTACTGTGTGGATAGAGCTGTGGAAAAAATAAGAGTATGAAATTTTATAAGAGAGTTTTGCATTTGGAAATTGTTAAGTTACAATTTTTGTTTTAAAGTTGTTACTGATCAAATAATTGAACTCTAAGAAAGTGGTAAAGAGAAGGAATATACTGGATAAAAATCTACTTTTTTAATAGACTTTCATTAAATGTCTAAAGATACTCAAACACATTTATTTATTTATATATTGGAAAACTTGAAATTGTTTTGGTATTTTCCGCCTTTACTTCATAGATGGAAGAAACCCCCTCTGAATCGGAGAAACTTTACTCATTTTATGATCTGGAATCAAGTAAGTGATTATCAGCATAATAAAAAAAATTCCTGTCATTTATTTGCTGAGCTTTGTTTTTTGTTTTTCTGTTATGTGAGGGAAATCTAACATGAGTGTATTTAATTGATTCTGGGGTAGCTTTGGCCATACAGGAGTTTGTAAAGTGCTATGTTAGGCAGTGAGGGGAATGTAACTCTTAGTCCAGTTGACAAAATAACTTTTCTTGCTTCTCCTTCCCTTCCTCTCTTGATTTCCTTTTCATAATTTAAAATATATATATTTATATATATATATATTAAATATATATATTTTTAATATATATTTTAAATAAAATATATATATTATTGATTTTTTACAGAGAGGAAGAGAGAGGTACAGAGAGTTAGAAACAATGATGAGAGAAAATCATCAATCAGCTGCCTCTTGCATACCCCCCACTGGGGATGTTTCCGCAATCAAGGTACATGCTCCTGACCAGAATCGAACCTGGGACCCTTCAGTCTGCAGGCTGACGCTCTATCCACTTAGCTGAACCGGTTTTTGATGTCAGGAAACAGTGGTGTGAACAGGGGGGGGGGGTTGTGGTGCTCCAGGGAACAGTTAGGCTCCCTGGTCGGAACATAGGTGACTTAGTCTCTCTTACAGCATTGAGCATTGTTCTCCTTCTGATGGCCAAGCTACTCGGGAACAGTGAAGGGCTTCCCAAATCCGAATGTCGAGTAAATGTAAGGTTTGTTTTTCTTCCATATTGGCACAGACACTCTTCATTGAGGCTGTGGATGACTTCAATGCAAAAGTAGCCAGAGCTCATAGAGTGAACTGGCTACACAGTTTAAGATTTGTGTTGGAGATGAATCTAGTACAGATTTATGTGATGGGATCCCACTTGCCAGCAATAATACGTTATTATTTAAGTATCACCAATCATTAAGTATCACCAAATCAAAATTACAGTGAGATAGTCATCTCAGCCCATTAGGATAGCAACTATAGGATAAAAAGAGAAAACAAATGTTGGCGTGGATGTGGAGGAATGGAACCCTGTGCACCATCGGTAGGAATGTAGGATGGGATGACTGCTATGGCAAACAGTATGGAGGTGCCTCAAAAAATTAAAACTACAATGACCTTACATCCCTGGATTCTGGTTATACACTCAAAATAATTGAAAGCAAATATTTATTCTTCCATATTTATAGCAGTATTAGTCACAATAGCTAAAACATGGAAGCAACCAAATGTCTGTAACTGGATGAATAGATAAGCAGAATGTGTTATGTATACACAATCGAATATTGTTCAGCCTTAAAAAGGAAGGAAATTCTGACATATGCTACAACATGCATATGAATCTTGAGGATATTATACTAAGTGAAATAAGGTAATCTCGGAAAGACAAATACTGTATGATTCCACTTCTATAAAGTACTTGGAATAGTCCAGATCATGAAGACAGAAGGTAAAATGGTGGTTCGCAGGGGCTGTGGGAAGAGATGAATGGAAATTATTGTATAGTGGTATAGAGTTTCAGTTTTACAAGGTGAAAAGTATTATGGAGATGGATAGTGGTGATTTTGCATAGCAATGTGAGTGTATTTGATACTACTGAACTGTGCAGTTAAAAATGGTTAAGGTGGTAAATTTTATATTATATATGTTTTCCCACTGTTTTGAAAAGAAAAAAAGAAATAACTGGGTTAATTGTTCTATTGAACAAGTAATTTAAAGAATATTTGTAAACGTGACATGAGCAACAGAGTTATGCTCTAGTTCAAATGATGTATCTTTTCAAGTTTTAATAGAGAACCAATTAGTCATTTTTTTTGATATCTTATTGCTAAGTAATTAACATCTCTTGGGATGAGTTTCACTATTAACATTAGCCTTGCTCAGTAGCAATGTTATACACACTGCCTTAAGTGAAATGCTCTCAAACTTTATTAACAGAATTGTGCATTCTTAATCTTAACACTCCTTTGTGATACATATGAACTGATATTGGCTGTAGAACTTGCTTCTTTTTCAGTTGAAGTAACACCATATCTTGTTTATTCACTCAACCGAGAAATGATTGAAGTTGAGATTTCTTTGGCTGATCCATGTTTTCTTGTTGATGTGCTTTCTAATGACAAATTTTACCACTTCTAACTTCAGCTGAACTTTTTAGTTTTCACTTTCTGCCCTCCACCCCTTGGGAGATGACCTTGCTGTAAATTGTCTCATAGAAAAGTCTGCTTACATGCACTGGTTTAATAATTACTTATCATGTTTGAAAATGTGTACAGGATGATGTAGGAAATGTGGTAACACATCTTTACTGATTTTGTTTATAATATTTTTCCATCTGTATGTGTATATATTTTGATAAATGTTTGATCTTACAGTATAGATGAATGTTGGCAGAATTAAATTGCTAATGTATGTATCATGACTTGCAGTTTATAAAAAATAAAACAAAATATGTGTTTGCTCTCTGTCAGAATGGAATCCAGGGCAGGAAATATCTAGTTTAACAGTTATTTTTGAACACCTGAAAATTATCCATTAAAAGTTCACTGTGTGATCGTGCTATTTATTTTCTCTTTAAAAAAGATATTAACAAACTGACTGAAGATAAGAAAGAGGGCCTCAGGCAACTTGCAGTGACATTTCAACTTTATATCAGAGAAGAAATACAAGATCCTTCTCAACTGCCACCTTCCTTTGACATCTTTGAAGGCTTTGCAAAAGTAAGTGTAAAGTTTGGTATTTTTGCTAATGCTATAATCAACCTTTCACTCTTTATTTTGTTGTTGATCCGTGAAAATCCAGGACCTTTTATGTCTTATATCACTCTCCTACCTTGATGAGTAGAGAATGAAAGGATATATTATATTAAAAATGGTATTTAATTTTAATGTTTTATTCAGTATTCTTATTAATGATCCAAGTATCTTCATTGTCTAAAGACATACTCTGCCATTGCATTCATTTAGTTTTGTCATGGTGTTTTAGTAATAGAGTCTGCTTTTAAATTACATTTAAGGGGGTGACAGTGGTTAATAAGATTATATAGGTTTCAAGTGTACAATTCTGTGGTACATCATCTGTATTGTGTGCCCACCAGCTAAAGTCAAATCTCTTGTCACCATATATTAGACCCTTCCATCTGGTCCACATTCTTCCATCTGGTCCACCATACTGTTGTCTGTGTCTGTAAGTTTTTTGTTTGTTTATTTTTCTTGTTTGTTCATTTGTGTTTTTAGTTTTATATCTCACATATGAGTGAAATCATTCGGCTCTTTTTTTCGTCTGATTGAAATGAAAAAATTATTGAATCCATTTCTTAAATGAATTCTAAATAATGGGGAAATATAAAAATTTCTTATCTATATATTATATATAAAAGGCTAAGTGACTGATTGACCATCTGTCCGACCAACTGACCAACCAACCGATACATATGATGCACTTTGGCAATTTAAAAATAAATGTTAATTCGCGCTGTATGATACATATACAGCTCTCACTGGCACCAATCACACACATGTGTTTCAATCTGTCATTTCGATTGTGAATTTGGTTGTTTTTGTTGGCATTCTGAAGCTGGAAGAAAGCAGAGTCATTAACAGAAAACGTCTGAAGACCAGCTATTGGCACAATTGTTCCTGTCTGACATTGGTTTCCCATTTAAATTAATTTGAAGACAATTTCCCATGATGCCAGCATTTGCAATGTCTATTAATAAATCACAAGGACAAGCTCTAGACAGAGTAGGAATATTCCCACTTGAACCATTTTCGGACATAGTCAGTTATACTAGTTGCTTTTTCTCTATTTGAAGAGCATGTGATGTTAAAGTTGTAAATACTTCATTTCAAGGGAAATTAATCAAGCACTCTGAAATTTACTCTTAATATGTTGTACAATGAGTTAATTAGAATAAGTTTATCACTTTATCAGTCATTGTTTTTATAGTTGTTTTTATATTATGTTTTTATTGTTTTTATATCATGTTTTCATATGAAGTCTTTGTTGTTACATCATGTTATTGTTATTAGTCAATTTATATATTTTCATATATATTTTACTAATTTTATTTCATCTCTGACACTTCTATTATAGAGAAAGGGCAAATAGTGATATTAAAAGATTTATTCTAATTAATTTCCTTCCAGTGTGCATTAATCCATGCCCTGGACTACTAGTTTTAAAATAATTTCCTAAAAATCTGTTTAAATATTTCAGGTCACTAAAATCTTGGATTAGGAAGAGAATAGAAGTTTAATTTAATATTTTATCTGTGGTCTCCTGGCAGCAGCTACCTAAAGTGTGCTTTTAGGAAGTGATTCTGAGGGGCTTTGGGTTCAGGGTGAAGAAGACAATGATTGAGGCTTGACATGGATCTTGATGCCCCTGGGATAGGGACAAAGGGTCAGAACGCCCGGTATTGCTGTGTGTCCACTGTCCTTGCTCTCAGGTTGTATGCTTGGGTTTGTTAAGATAGTGATCACATCTTAGAAACAACGGAAAATTTACATTTGAGGGTAAAATTGCTACTGATTTTAGAATCTGAAAGTGCGTATCTAATGACATATATATCTCATGAATATTTTTAAGATATATTTTGTAATTACCTATTTTCTAAGAATTTAAATATAATTAATGTGATTGCTAGAGATTTATTCTTCTTTTCCCCAAAAGTATTTTCATTCTGTAAGGTATACTTTTATGATTTTCTGGTAATATCATCTTAACTCTGACTTCTGGTTTGTCTAAACTTTAATATAGATTTTAAAATACAACAGCTACTGTTGCCTGGCCGGTGTGGTGTAGTGGTTGAGCATTGACCCATGCACCAAGAGGTCGCTGGTTCGATTTCCAGTCAGGACATATGCCCGGGTTGTGAGCTGTATCCCCAGTAGGGGGCGTTCAGGAGGCACCGATCAATGATTCTCTCTTATCATTGATCTCTCTCTCTCTCTCTCTCTCTCCAATTAATAAAAAAAAAAGTTAGAAAACATTACTTATGCATCTAGGGAGTTTCTGATATTTATTTCATATTCTTCTGAAAATTATAACCTGTTGTGGATAACCTATATGCAGTGCATCCAGGCTTTTTTTTTTTTTTTTTTTTTTTTTTTTTTTTTTTTTATGCTAAGCAGTATATAAAGTAACACCTACTGAAAGATAAAAATATATTTTATGATAATTATAACTTCATTAAGTCTGTGTCTGTTTTGTGTTAGTTGTTTCTATTATTTGTGAATTTTCAAGTGCTCATTACTGGTGTTATTAATATTCATGAAAAATATTTTAAAATGTTGTCTATTACTCAATGTTAACTGAGCAATATATAAATGTGTAGTTAATTTTAAATCTGAAAATTACCTATCAAAGCAATAAACCTCAGTGAGTACAACATAGTAATGATTATATACACTTATAAAACTTATTAAGTGATCACCACAGTAAGTCTAGTACCCATCTGTCACCATGCATAGTTACTACAATATCATTGACTGTATTTCCTATGCTGTACTTTACATTCCTATGACTGTTTTATAGCTACAAATTTGTACTTCCTCATCACTGCCCCCTTTTCAACTAGTGCTCCAACTTCCTTTCCTTCTGGCAACCGCCAGGCTGTCTTTGTGTCTATGATTTGTTTCTGTTTTGTTTGTTCACCTATTTTGTTTATTAGATTCTACATATACGTGAAATCATACGGCATTTGTCTTCTTTGACTTATTTCACTTAGCATAATACCCTCCAAGTTCATTCATGTTGTTGCAGATAGCAGGATTTCATTTTTTATGGTTGACTAATATTCCATTGTATATATGCACCACTTCTTCATCCACGCATCGACTGATGGACACTTAGGTTGCATCCATATCCTAGCTATTGTAAGGAAGGCTGCAATGCACATCCAGATGTGTATGTTTTTGGGAATTTGTGTTTTGGGTTTCTTCAGATAAATACCCAGAAGAGGAATTGCTGGGTCCTTCTTTGTCTTTGTTACAGTCTTTGTTTTAAAGTCTGGGGTAAATATTGCTACCCCAGCCTTTTTGTTTGTTTCCATTTTCCTGAAATACCTTTTTCCATTCCTTTACTTTTAGTCTATGGGTTCCTATCTGAAATGAGTCTCTTGTAGGCAGCGTAAAGGTCTCATTTTCATATCCATTCAGCCACCTATGTATTTGATTGGAGCATTGAATACATTTATACTTAAAGTAATTATTCATAGGTATGTGGTTATTGCCATTTTATTTATGTTTTTGATTTTAAAAAAAAATTTCTTCTTAAAGAAGTCCCTTTAACATTTCTTGTAATACTGACTTGGTGGGATGAACTCCTTTAAGCTATTTCTTTTCTGGGAGCACTTGAGGTTTAGATTGTAGGAGTTTGCTGTACAAATATATCCTCTCCACTTGCGAATTTGTTGCGTGGCTGTAAATTGAAGTAGCCTGAGACATAGGAAGGAGAACTTTTGCGAGAAGGCACCATGGAGAACTTCAAGTGGGCAGTGAAATGGATGCTGGCCTTCGGGAGAGAGGGTGTGCGGGAACAGGTGTAGACGGTGGTCTATAAGAGGGCTGGGACCGGGGCGGAGGAAAAGACGGACCTCCTCTGCAGACCTGAAAGGTGGCTGCTGCCTGTGGAGCACATAGCAGTTCTGCTGAGAACCTTTGAACCAAAGCTTGGTGTTTAAAATGCTGGTTTAGCATTTTGGCAAAAGAAAAATATGTGAGGGTAATGGTACCTCCAGAATCCCCCTGGAATGGGTGCTGGGGGGAGATGATCTGTTTGGACGGGCAGACTGAAGTGATTTGCTTGAAGGCTTGTTTGCAGTGCAGTGTTTATTTTTAGATTGTGTTACCTGAGGGGAGGGCGAGGTGTGCCTGATGGAAATAAAGGTATGAGGTAGGAGGAGTGTGATGGTTGCTACTGACAAGAATGAAGGTGCTGAAACCGGTTTGGCTCAGCGGTAGAGCCTCGGTCTGCGGACTGAAAAGTCCCAGGTTCGATTCCGGTCAAGGGCATGTACATTGGTTGCGGGCACAACTCCGGTGGGGGGAGTGCAAGAGGCAGCTGGTCGATGTTCCTCTCTCATCGATGTTTCTAGCTCTCTATCTCTTTCCCTTCCTCTCTGTAAGAAAAATCAATAAAAAAAAAGAAAAAAGAATTTCTTCTTTAAAAAGAAAGAATGAAGGTGGCCAAAGGGTAGGAGCATTGCAGATGCCTGTCAGTGAGAGCACAGGAGGCATGCAGTTACTTATATGTTCATGAAAAATAGAGGCCAAGCTCATCTCTGCTAGATTGTTAGGGACAAGAACTATGTGTCTCCATCTCTGCTATCCCCTCCTCCTTCTCATCCCATATATTCCCCTCTACTATTTTCAAACACAGTTTCCTGATATATTTCAAAATGGGTTTATGTTGGCATGACATTTGCAGTGGTTCAGTCTACTGATTGAGTTCTAAACATTTACTACAAATATAGAAAAGGTATATATGAATAATAACATAAACCTTAAAAGTGGAGAAAATAACAGAAAGGATACATTTGAATGGGGCACTAGGCCGAGCTCAGCACTGCCAGGGGTGAGTCTGAGGGGGGCAGTGAAGGATTAAAGAAGACAGACAAGAGAATAAAGCCTGGGCCAGATGGGATGCTGCTCTCAGATGGAGAGACAGTGCCTCAGCCTGCAAGCCGAGTCTATTTTATAGCCAGATCCCATGAGGC